CGAATGTGTGCGTAGACTGTGGGCGTAGAGTGTGGAGTGTGTGTCTGTGTGTGTGTGTGTGGGGGGTGGGGCGGGGGGGGGGCGTAGAGTGTGGGGTGTGAGTGTGGGGTTTGAGTGTGGGTGTACAGTGTGGGGTGCGAGAGTGTGCGTAGACTCTGGGCGTAGAGTGTGGGCGCGAGTGTGAGGGGCGAGTGTGGAGTGCGAGTGGCGGCACGAAGTGTGGGCGCGAGTGTGTTCGGCGAGTGTGGGCGTCGAGTGTGGTGCGTTTCTGGCCTCGAGCTAGTGCTGGCCCCCCAGGCATACACAAGTCTTGGGGAGGGCGCCTCGGCCACCAGGGGAAACGCCAGCTCGGTCGAAGGGCTTGCCGTCGGTCCTGCTGTGGCTTTGCCCTTGTGTCGGCGTCGTCCACTTGGGCGCGTCGAGAACAGGCAACGCGGCGACCTATTACGGCCAGCCAGGGTGGACTTCGGGAGGGATTTGGGGGACCCGTTTTCAGCTGAATCTGGTGTTCCGCTATTCGTTTCCTTTCTCTCTCTCTCATAATCCTGACCTCTTTCCATCTTTCAGGCTTCATGGAGCGAGACATCGGGCCGCCTGCTGCCCTGTTTCCCTTTCGGGTCGGCTCCAGGCGGAAGCTGTTGATTGTTGGTCGGGGTTGGGCCCAGTGGATGGTCGAGTCTCGCTGGGATAGTCGTTGTTGCGTCTTGCGTCGGTCTCGGATGCCGTTCCTTTCCTCCCGGGCGAGGGATGGTGTTGCGGGCCGAGTTCACGTGAAGGCTTGGTGCGGCTGGGTGTTGCCCGCGCAGATCGTTGGTCTCTGGTCGGATATTGGTTGGGCTTGTGCTTGCGGGATTGGTTAACGCTCGGAGCTGGTCCAGGTAGGGATTTGATTTGGGTCTTGTTGAATTTTGAGTATAGCCTTTGTCGAGTCGTTGGGCATTGCGCAGGTGCGCTGTGACCGATGGAGGCCATATCGAGAATCAGCGGGTGTTGCTCGAAACTCCGATGGAGGCCATATCGAGAATCAGCGGGTGTTGCTCGAAACTCACGGGGTGTGGGTGGCCCTGGCTGGGCCCTCAGAGGTTAGCCAGGCTTACGCCGCACACTTTTGGCGGGGTTCGCGTGCGCTGGTGCCAAACCGCAGCTTCTACGGTGGGGGCGTTCGTTAAGGAACGTGCCCGTGAGATTTCAGACCCTGGACAGTTCCTCATCTGACGAGGGCGTGGGGTGATGTCCATCGCCAAGCCTCAGTTGAAGTTCCGCCTGCATCCAGCCCCTGGATTCCTTACCCAATGGTTCCTTATCCAATGCCGTCGCCGTGCTCCTCTCTCTCTTCTGATCTCTCCTCGCCTGCTCCAGCTCTTGCTCTCCTGCTTCCTCAGCTGGCCCCCCCTTCGCCCACAGTCCTCCGCGCGCGAGCGCCCACTCAGAGCTGCCGCTCTCATTGGTTGCGATCTTGCAGCGGCGCCCGCTCCTGCCGCCACTTGTCCGCCTGCCAGGACGCATCCTTCAAATTATGTTCCTTCGCTCATGGTCTCTGGTCTCATCCTTGACTCCAGCCTATCCCCCGCCTTTCTCCTCCTCCTCCTCCACCTCCTCCTCCTCCTCCTCCACCTCCTCCTCCTCCTCCTCCTCTCCTCCTCCTCCTCCTCCTCCTCCTCCTCCTCCTCCTCCTCCTCCTCCTCCTCCTCCTCCTCCCTCCTCCTCCTCCTCCTCCTCCTCCTCTCCTCCTCCTCCTCCTTCCTCCTCCTCCTCTCTCTCCTCCTCCTCCCTCCTCCTCCTCCTCCTCCTCCTCCTCCTCGTCATCATCATCATCATCATCATCATCATCATCATCATCATCATCATCATCATCATCATCATCATCATCAGTATCATCATCATCATCATCATCATCATCATCATCATCATCATCATCATCATCATCATCATCATCATCATCCTCATCCCCTCATCCCGGCAGGACCTGCAGCGATGGAAGCAAGACTTGCAGGTCAAGCAGCACCGCACGCACGAGCTGGACAGGAACTGCATCCGCCTCTCGTTCGCGCGATTGCAGCGATGATTGTAAGTGCGAGGCCCGACCATAGCCGTATATAGTATGACGGTGGCTGGTTGGACTGATACCTGTTGTCGTGACAGTACATGCTTCCATCACCTCGCACGCACAATCTGCTGCGTAGCATGAGAGTTCTGGTGGTGGTGGGCAGGCAGGGCGCCTGATTCCAGTGGGGCGATGACGATGTTTGGCACTGAGCCTTGTCATTCTGGATCAGAGATCGGTTGAGTGGTTGCGCCAGTGCTCGGCAGCAGATTCGGGGGGGATGGGGGTTCCGATTCCACTTTGAGGAAGCGAGGGTATCGGACGTTGTTTCCGGTTGCTCCAGCGCCACGCAATCTGGCAGCACATCCACAGTTCTATGTTGCATGCGCCGCCAAGATATCATATGGTCTGTTGCGTTGTGTCTTAAACAATTGTGTCAGTGGTCTTGCATACGGGTGCACGAATGGTTGTTTAGAATCAATTCTAGACACTTCGCGTATAACCCCACCATCGCATCCAGAAACGATGCCCAGGCAAGTTGCCCTGATCTTGCCTGTGGGGAGCACGATGTGGAATAAAGGCTGGGAAGCCGTCGTACCCCAAGGAGGGGAGGATGGAACGCACGCGATTGAGGGAGAACGAGGGAAACCCGACGGGTCAGCCAAAACCCACAGGGGGTCCATCGGAGAGGACCGAGGGGGAGGATGGAGGAGGAACAGGAGGAGGAGGAGGAGGAGGAGGAGGACAAGGAGGAGGAGGAGGGGGACGATGAGGAGGAGGAGGAGGAGGAGGAGGAGGAGGAGGAGGAGGAGGAGGAGGGAGGACCAGGAGCAGGAGGAGGATCAGGAGCAGGAGCATGAAGGAGGAGCAGGAGGAGGAGTAGGAGGAGCAGCGGGAGGTGGAGGAGGGATAAGGGAGAAGGGAGGAGGAGGAGGAGGAGGAGGAGGAGGAAGAGAAGGAGGAGGAGGAGGTGGATGATGAAGAGGAATGGGAGGAGGGCGAACAGAAAGGCCAGATGCCTCTTGGATACTTCTCGGGGTCTTTTCGGATGTCACTCGAGAGCTTATCGTAGGCCTGTTGGGGCGTCTTGGGGACCTCGTGGCGGTCTTGTGGGCCTCTTGAAGCGTCTTGGGTGCCTCGGAGGAATCTTTTGGGGCCTCGTGAGTGTATCTTGGGAGCATCTTGGGGCCTTCTGGGGGGCATCTGTGGGGCTCTTGTTGGGGTCTTCTGGACGCCTCTTGGGGCCCTTCTGGGGCACTCTTGGGAGCCCTGGGGTGCCATATTGGGACCATCTTGGAGGAGTTCGATCAAAGGTGTACGGGCACTTAATTAGCACCCCTCCCCATACAAGGAGGCAAACGTGGGCCCCCAACCTTTGTAAACTTGATGATGTTGGCCTTCTCGCCGAGGCCATATTGGACGCTCTAAGCCCCAGCCGCCCCCCCCCGTCCAGGCTTCGGATAGGTAAATCCCCATCTTGTCCCTGCATTGTTCCTGACTTTCTGCTTCCTGGACAACGTGGTCAATAGGGGTTCCCTGAGCTATCAGACGCAAGAGTCGATGAGCGGTGGCAGGAGGTATGGGTAGAGAATGGTGGAGGCTGCTATCTACCAGGATCCTGAGTTTCAGCCAAAGAGCGGTGTTATAGGTAATGGAGAGTCAGAGGAGCAGCCAGCGTCGCCGCTGAGACTGACTCCTCGTCCTCACCGTGACGGGCAAAGGATGTTCTTCTTCTGGCGGCCTGATCTTGAGCCAGACTGGTGCCGGCACGCTAGCATAATTCAGATGGGCGCAGGCTTGGTGTTACCATTATTCCCGCGCTCACTGAGCCCCTCAGTTGACAGACATATGATGCCATGCTTTGCCTGCTACGCCTCATGCACCGGACGGCACAGTACTATGTCAACAATTTTGGGGGCACTGCATCGGTGCCCTTTTGTTGCAGTCGGCACGCATAGTGAAAAGGGCACCGAGTACGGAAGACACACACCCCCCTCACAGCATAGACGTGCAAGCATTGGTCATGTCTTACAGTGCTTTGCCTAGTCCACTGCGGAATTCTAGAACCCGGATGACGCCACACACATGCGGAAGCAACGATCATGTCACGAATTTCCGCTCTGGCGAGCCTGTTCTTCCACGGCAGGTCAAGGGGGGGGAGGGGGAGGGGGAGACACCTCCCCGAAGGGCAAGAAGGGGGGCTGGTAAAGGAAACCCGCTAAACCACTCACGCCGTAAAGGGTCGATGGGATTCCACGGTAGGCTGAATTCTCGGGGCCTCCGTTTGTCCTCGTTTGTCCCGTTGCCTGTGGGCACCAGGGATTTCTTTGGGCTGGTCCGCGACTATTTGCAGTTCGGGTGCTTGCCTTCCGCGGACGCCAACTCCATTCGGTCACTGTTGCCCCAAACTATCTCCAGCCATGTCGTTGCTTGCTCGCAGCGGCTGTCACCCTCAATCCATTGGCCCTGTCCCCGAGTGCCAATGGCCAATGGCCATGCTGCTTGCCATTCGTCGCCGTCATGCCATGATCTATCTGCTCCTCCTCCTGGTGATCAGCGCTTTTGGCTCGAGCTGCCTTTTATTCGCAGCTGTCGTAGCGTCATGCTTTAGAGCCTATCCCTTCTCCTTCCCCCAGACACCCGACGACAGGTTTTCCCACTGCCCGGCCTCACAGAAGCCCCGACCCCTTCCCCAGGGAAAGCCTTTCTAGGGGAACGAAGAATGGTGCGCGGAGCGCGCCAGGGGCGGCGCCAGAGGCGCCGCCAGGGGGGTCCAGCGCGGATCCTAGAAATCCGCGCGGACCTCCGAGTTCTGATGATCATGTCATTCTTCAACCCCCTCGCCCCAGGCTCATCTTCTGATGGCCCCGGAGGCCGGGATCGCGAGGAACAGCGCCAGGCGATTGACGATAACAACTGGGTCCGCGAGGAAAAAGCTTCTCGTCGGAGATCTGGGTCCTTCCCCTCCCCGCCTCCCCTCGCTCTCCTTGAGCTGGGCGGCCATGGCACGCCCGGCAGGGCAGCCCGTCGCACGAGACCGGCCGTGCAGCGCGGGCGCGGCTGGTGCCCTCCACGAGGGCGAGACCTTCGACGCCCTGCGGCGGCCCTCCGTGCTGGCTGGGCACCACGGCGCACCCGCGGGGGCCCCCGCGGCGGCAACGCACCCGCGGGCCCAGCTGCCGTTGGCGCTGCTGGCGCCGCCGCCGGGCTTGGCACAGCCGCCGACGGCGGGCGCGAGCGGCTCTGTGGCCACGCCGGCCCCGAGCGACAGCGGCGGCGCCTGCGAGCGGTGCGGCCAGCAGGAGATGCTGCACAGGTGCGGCCACTGGCGGTGCGTCACGCCGACGTGCAGGCCCGCGTGGTTCCAGGACATGGAGGCCAAGAGCTGGCTCGTGCCGAGGTCACTGGAGCGCATGCTCGACGCGCACCTCTTCGAGACCCTCGACCGCTGCGAGGACTGCCGGCCCGAGGGGCGGTGCCTGCGGGCCGACGCCGACGCCCCCCGGTACTGCAACTTCGTGTTCAAGAGGGGCACCTGCAAGTTCGGCGCCAAGTGCCCCGACTGCCACCTGCACGGCCGCGGGGTGACCCACCTGGGCAGGCCAGGCGCGGGAGACAGCGCAGCGCAGCAGGGCGCGGCCGCCGGCCGGCCGGGCGGCGGGGGCCCCTCGGCGAGGACCTGCCCGTGCAGCCTTGACGCGCCGCCCAATCCCCCCCTGCCGCTGCGGCTGGTCGGCCTGCACTCGCCCCCAGAGGTGCACCCGCAGCCGCGGCCAGCCACGACGGGCGCGCCGCCGCTGCCGGAGGACTCCTGGTCCGTGTAGGGCTGCGGGCGTCGTGGCGGCAGGAGCCCCCCGGGCTGCGAGCTCCGCCGTCGTGCGCTCTGCCCCCGGGGGGGGTATCTCCCGCCGTTGCGAGGGGGGCGCCCGTGCTCTCCAAGGCCGCCTCAATGGTCCTCCTCGTCCTGGTTCGAGCTCGTTTCTCGAAGTCTACAGTGGGGGTCCCATTCCAAGAAACACCCTGCTTGCCTCCAGGGTGCCCTGGGTTTCTTGGCTGTCGACGGTTTCGCTGTGGAAGGCGTGCTGCTCCCGCACCAAAAATCAAGGGACGCTCTGGGGTCTCAGGCTTGGGTTTCTTGTGGAAGGTTTCTTGTGGTCGGGCCCCTACTGTAATGATCCTCCCCATCCTGGTTCGACCCTGTTGCTCTAAGTCTATGTCCAACCCTCCTCTTGCTCTGAAGGGCGCCGTCGAGTATAGCGTTTCGCGCAGAGTTTGCGGAGGCCTCGACGCAGTCACCGTTTGTGCCGGCTCCGTCTTGAGCGAGTCGGCAGATTCATGTATCGTGGCATGAGCGAGTCCTTCCAATTTCTAGTGCGGCAATGCTGAGAACAGGTTGGCCGCCTGCGCCGGAGAACAATGGAGTTCAACGGCGAAATCGCTAATTTTGAATTCATGCCTACGTTCAGTGGGTTCACGCAGCGGACACACCGAACGACACATAGCGCACAGGAGAGCTGCAGACATGAGCGTCCAGGACTCACCCAACGAGGGTATCATTCTGTCGCTTGAGCAGCAGGCGGTGGATTCCCGAAAGAGATGCCAAAAGTCTCGCCTTCCCGCGCACGTCGCGGGCCGAGGTGGCGTGAGTTCACTGCAAAGCTACTTCTGCTCTTCATGTCGCGATTCCGCGCGAATGTGCCGTCACGCTTGTCGGATGCTCGCATCGTGCAGGGGGAGGGGTGGGGGGGCGGGGGCGGAGGTGCCTCCGGAGAGATGCTTTGGAGCTCCGTTCCCCAAGCCCTTGGTTTTTGCGTCACCACCGCTCCACTGCCTGAGCGGAAAGCGGCACGTGGATGGATCTGGCAGAGCAAGGTGAGCGCGTGCTGGGCCCGATGAGCCGGGTGGCCCAGCGGGTGGGTGCTGCGCAAGAGGCGAGGCCGTGCTTAAAACCAAAGCGAGGGGGCCGACACGCACCAGCCGCGTCAAGCGCGGTGGCGTATTCTGTTTGTCGGCGGGCTTGTCGGGAGGGCCTCACGGAATCACCTCGACTCGCAGGGCTGCGGTACGTGGCGCTGCTTCGCGCGACGGCCGGTGACGATGCCTTGCGTCTCATTTTCCAGCACGCCTCGTTTGCCAGCGCCATGTGCAACGGAGCATGGACTCGGCGAGCGGGAGGCATCCGGAGTCGATTCGCAGGATCGCGGTGCGTGGCGCGGCTTGGCTCGACGGTCTGCATTCCTACGTGCTCGCTTGGCCTCGCCGCAATGACAGCTCTCCTTCTGGCCTCGGCGCCGTTCGAAAAGCGCATACTGAATTGCGCCGAGCCGAGGCTCCAGCGTTCACAATCGCAACGCCCATTCCGACTCGTGTTTTTTTGAGTGCCCTCGCAGACCCGATTTTTTGATTTTGCAGGGATATCTGCGCTAAGCAGACGGTTCCCGTTCCCCTTCTCAACCTCGCCTCCACCCCACCCGATTCCCTCCGCCTCCCCCTCCTCCTCCGCATCCCCCTCCTCCTCGTCATCCCCCTCACTCGCTCTCCGCTCCGTCGAGGGAAGAAGCACTTCATCCGCCCGCCTTGCTCTCATGCGTGCAGCTTGCGTCGCGGCGCAGTGCTGGTCGAGCTCTGCGCACATAAGCGCAGAGATCTGGCTAGTTTGATGCATGCAAGCACTTCGACCAGCAGGATTGCGGTGCATGTTGCGCGGCTTGGTGCGACGCCCAGTATCCTAGCGATACAGTTTCGGCATGCCGATTTCGGCGTGTCAGCGGATTGACTCGCCTTCTTTCTGCTTTTTTGGTTTTGTGCCCTCGTGAATTCGCGGCACCGGACGTTCTCCTTGCCGTTGATTGGCGCTCTCGAGAGTGCAGACGAAACTGCGCCGAGTTGAAGCTCCAGCGCGTATGAAAGCCGCGCCAGTTCCAGCGCGGGTCTTTTTAATTCTTGACGCTTCGCGTATCCTCATCAGCCCATCCAGGAACGATATCCAAGCAAATTGCTTCGGTCAGCCAAGCGTAGGAGCTCGGGGGCGTCCTTGGGAGGCTTCGTGGCTACTTGGAGGCGTCTTGGGGCGGTATCGGGGCCTCTTGGGGAAAATGTTGGAGTCCCTCTTGGGTCATCCTGGGTGTCTCTTGATACCCTCTTGAGGGGACCTCTTGGAGGTATCTTGGGCTAAACGTTGCCCTCTCACACCTTGCCGCACCCCCTGCCAAGACCCAGAGGAAGCAGGTAGGGGAAGGGGTGTAAACCCTTCTCCGAAGGGTGAGAAGGGGGTTGGTGGAACAGGAAACGCTCTCAACCGCCTCCGCCCAGAGGGATGGCGTCCAGGCGCTGTCGGTGGATGACTCCATCTTTTGGGCTCTGACGGTCAAACTTTTTGGAGCTGACGGTCACTCCGTGCACGATGCGGTCAGCGCTTGATCTGTCCAGAAGGCCTTTCCTTGACTTCATACTCACCCTCCTGCTCCTGCGCCCCGTTTCGCGCCTACGACATCTTCCTTTGCTCCTGAAAGCGCCGTCTGAAGACGAGTGGTTTGCAACTGCACCTCGTACTTCGCCGCAACTAACGGAGGCCTCGACGCAGTCACCGTGTGTGCTGGCGTTCCATTATTGGAGTCGCTTGCTTCCCGTCTTGTGGCAAGTGCGAGGTTGTCGTGTGGCACGGCTGCGCATGGGAGCCAGCGAGTGCTTCTAATGAGTTACACAGTAGTCCATGTTGCGAGCCAGTATTGGGGACCACGGTAGCGCGAGTTCACGAAGAAGCTGTAATATTCACAAGCAGTGGTTGCATTTGGGGTATATGACTTGCGCGGGTCGGGCCGCTGTCGCGAGCAGCTATCCCACCGCGCAACCACTACGCATGGACTCCATTCACAGGGGAAACACCCCGCTTGCTCCAAGCCGAGATTCAACACTTGTGGGGCCCCAGGCTCGTACCTCGGGCCACACACATTCGGAATCCAGCATGGTTGCACCCACGGGGACTCACGCACAGAAAGGCTCCACGCGTACACATATTTCCACACACAGTGTTCTGCGCGCACGGTTCCACCAACAGGGTCGTCGACAGATGTGCTGTTCACATGGGTAGTGGTCCACAGAATATTGATCCATAGATGCACGTCTTCTGCGCACATCAGGCTTCGCACCCACGCGCGCAGGTGTCCACACACTTTGTCGCACGGATCTCCTGTTCCTGCCCGGTGTGTTGACATCGTGCCTGGCTGGCACTTGTTGGGGGGGGTGAGGCAACTGTGATCTGTGTTCGAGGTGATGAGGTGGGTTCCTGTGGCGCGGCTTGGCGCGACGGTTCGTGACCTTGGGTCTCGTGTTCAAGCGCACGCCCGGCGCGTCGATCATGCGAGGTTCCTTCAGTCCCTCCTCCCTGTCGTGTTTGCCGACGAGAGGTGGGCATGCTGCTTCGCCTGGGACTTCTCCATCACTCATGATTTGGGAGCTTGAGATTTGCAGCAGCTGCCGGGAAGGAGGGGTTCTGGTTCTGAGGATGGGGCTCCCACTAAAGCGTCGCGCGCATTCGTCTCAAACTTCTGCGAACGATTCAAGGATGGAAATGGGGATATTTTTGTTCAATGTTTTTTTCGTAGCGCCGCGCACAGTTGTCTTATAAGTTCCAACAGCTCAGACGATGAAGGGGGAGGTGTTGTCAAATTCGGGCGCTCTCTTTAGCAGCGCTCCCTTTCGTTTTGAAAGCTGCAGCAGCTTCCATGATGGATGGGGGGGGGTCCAAATGGGGCATTCGCCGTAGCGCCGCGCACGTCGTCTTCACAGTTAGTGGATGGACGTTGACAGCTTCAGGATGGGGCCCGCAAAGGTCAAAAGCTCCGACCCTGCTCATTTTGGTGTTGTTTGTCCTCGCCCGACCTCTGACGGTCCTCGAGCCTTTTCCCTGGCACCCAGTGGTCGACGTTGACAGCTTCAGGGATGGAGGGGGGCCGAGGAGGAGGAGGAGGAGGCGGAGGAGGCGGAGGCGGAGGAGGAGGCGGAGGAGGCGGAGGAGGAGGAGGAGGAGGAGGACAGAACGAGGCTCTCGTAGGAGCGCCTCCGCTCGAGAAAGTCCAGGAGCTGCAGCGCGTGCAGCCGCTCTGCACGGACGGAGGGCTCCCCATCTCTGCAAGGTGTGGCTCTCGTCTGAGAGTTTTGCTCGGCAATGTGGAGGGCGACCAAACATGAGGAAGCATGTTGCCAGGTAATTCCCAGATGTCTAAGACACGTGTTGTTTTAATCCTTCAACCACATGTTGTAGACATGTTCTGTTCATGTGTCCGACATGTGAAACACATCAGTGATTCGATGATGGGACTCTTAGGGTGTCCACTGTCGTGGCGTCCGCAACATTTGCACTAGCATGCGACGATTG